CCCGAGATCCCATCCCCTCCTTGCCCACCCGCGACCGTATCAGCTCTGTCGCCTGGGCTGTGCGTTGGGCAGGAGGTGGGGGGACAGGCAGGGACCCCTTACAGCCAGTGCCAAGGCCATTGCCCACCCTGGCTGACCTCGGCCAGGTTATGGGTCCTCTCCTCCCCATTGGGATGCCTCACAACCCTCTGCCTTCCCCACCACGAATCACCTCTCAGAGCTGGGGCAGGTTTGCAATCTCCAGTCCCAGCTGGAGCAGCACGGCTCACGGTGGGAGTCATCCCAAACCGCTCTCACGGGCACGGGGATGACTGCCGGCGCCGTGGCAGACCAGCCCTGCGGCACCCCCTCGTACTTACACCTTGGACCGCTGCAGCACCTGGATGGCATTTTGTGCCGAGAGGTTGAGCTTGGCTTTGCTGACCCAGCCCGTGAGGTCGTAGCGCACAGGGTCCGTGCCCAGCTGGTGGGAGATCTCGAAGTGCAGCGCCTGCTCGCACCTGCGCATGTAGCTGTCCCCTGCCATGGCACCCCAGAATTGCCCGAGAAGAAAAGCCCAGTGAGATATTTAATTTGTTGCATGGTTTCTTAAATTGCCAAAGCTAAATGGCGATGCCAAAGGATGGGCAGCTGAGCTGACCCAGACTTACCCTCCTGACTGGGTCCCTTCGTGATGAAGTAGGAGCACAGGCGGTCGAAGGCAGCTTCGTCCCCGGAGCCTGGGATCAGCACCTCCTCGTCCAGGATCCACAACAGCCCCCTGCGATCGGCCCCCAGGCTGCTGGGCAGCACCTGCGGCAGACAAAGGGAGATGGCCTTTGGTGACAGGGAAGGGGCAGGAAGGCTCTGGACAGTCGTCTCCAGCCACAGCCATGCCAGCCTGCTCCCACTTTGCTTCCCACCACCTCTGCTCAACCATGTCCCCTGCCCCAGACCAGCCAGACCAGGGTCAGGAAACCCTCCTGGCCTGATCCAGCTCTGGACATCACCCTTGAGACCTCCGCAGTCACACTGTGTCCCGGAGGGGCAAGTCATCCCAGCTCTGCAGCCAGGCTGGGAGGGGTGCCCAGAGCAGGGCTTGACCAGGAAGGGTGCTTGTATTTTAAAAAGCCAAAAAGGTCCAGGTTGATGCTGTGCACTCCCCTGCAACACCCTGGGCTGCTCTATGCAAAACACACCACGAGGTCCCACTCTGCCCCTGAAATCCTCACTCCTCTGAGCACAAGGATGCTTCAAGCATGGCCAGAGACACCAACTCCCACCATGGCCACAGGGACAGGTTACCTGTGAGGAGCTCAGGTCAATGATGGACAGCGTGGCCAGTGGCGAGCGCTCTGGAAGATCAAAAGAGACCTCAACATTTTCCTGGAAAACATTATTTAAAAGCTTGCTTCAGTCATGGTCTGGCATCTGAAAGCCAAGAGGAGATCTGTTTGCACGGAGGGGGAGGAGGATGGTGCGGGCCGTGCTCCCGCTTGGCTTTGCAGGGATCCAGTGCTGGCGGAGCAGAGCAGCCACCGGAGACACCTCTGCTGTGATGCAGAGGCACGGCGACGTCTGCCCCCGCAGGCAGGGCTGTCGGGACCACTGCACCCAATGGGCTTCTGCAGCACTTTGTGGATGTCAGACAAGCTGCATAAATCATGGATATGATAATAAATGAAGACTTAATGAGAAAGCACTAAGAAAACAATCAATTATTTAATTTGCAGCTTGCAGGCATTGTTTCCCTTTCTCAACCAAGGGCTTCGAACCCCCGGCTGCAGGGCTCACCCACCACCCGCGGTTCTAGCACCCGCTCCCAACACCCCTCCATGCCAGGCCCTGGAGCACGGGGAGCCCCGCCGGGAGGGGCAGGGTAAGCACGGCTTGCTCTCGCTCACGTGTGAACCGGGGATGTTCAGCAAGAGCCATAGTTTTAATGTCTCTCCATGGTAACACGGTGAGATTTTGCTCAGGGGTTCAGGTTTCCAGCCTAAGAGTGCAGGTGGAGCAGAAAGCAGCAGCAGGGCCCAAGTTTCTTCCTACCAAGGGCACGTGCCACCATCACCCCCATGTGTGACCCAGCTCTGGGAGTAGATGGGTCACTGGGGCTCGGGCTCACAGTCACAGTCCCACGGCTCACAGGGAAATGTCTTGCACCAGGACAGCCTTCCTTAGCCAGCAACAAAACCAAGGCAAGGCGAGCCTGCTGAGCCTGCTGTCACTTCAAGCCTGGCCAGTAACTACATATTCATCACTAGTGAAGAGCACATATATACGTACTTGGCACAAGTGATGGGTGAATATTAAGCCATGGGAATGCAATTATTTTCCCAGGGCTAGAGGTATTAAAGTAACTTCTGCAAGCTTAATAAGTTCATCTCTGCTTGCTGATTTTTCAGCAGCTTATTTCTGCAAAAAAGTATCATTTTCCTTTCTATTCTCTACTATTCTCTACAGCACCCAAGGAAAACCTCAGCTGCACCAACGGAAGGGCGTGAAGCCTCCTGAGCTGGAACAAGTTTGCCCAAAGAGATGCCCAGACAGCTTGGCATTTCTAGCACATCAGAAATACCCAAGAGGATCCGTGACTGGGCCAGCGGGGGGACAAGAGACCCGTCTCAAGGCTACTGCTCCATATAGACCCCTCATTTCTGCAACGCTCCTCCCATTAAAGCTGCTGAAGTGTGTTATTCGGTCACACCATGGCAGGGCACAGGGACCCGTGGGGCTCCCAGCCCTTGCTCCTCACCTCTCTGTACCTCTCCATTTCTGAAACAAAGGTTTTCTCGTAGAAAAGGGCCTGCAGCCGCTCGTGCACGTAGTTGTGGCAGAGCTCTTCAAAAGTCGCTGCTCGCTTGCCCCGCTGGTGCCGTGGGTTGTGAAAGCCAGGAGTGTCCACCACCGCAATGGAGGCCATGGAGAGGTGCTGGGAGGAGAAAGACCTGGGGAAAGAGCCGCACACACCACAGGGTTTTACCCACGGACGTGTCTGAGCTCTGCCTTCAGAGGTGACACTGCCTCTTCCCCCGATGTGCACGTCCCTGGGTGGGCACCATCCCATGCACCAGCCCAGCACTTCCCATCTCCACCTCTCCCAGTGTCTCCGGTCAAGGAGAACCCACACGTCCTGGCACGGCTCTCTTGCTTCTCCCTTACGCTTCACCCACCTCTTCTTTGATCTACTCAAGCCAGCGTCTCCTCCCAGCCTGGATGGAGACATGTGGCACAGGCTGCTCCTGACCTGGCCTAACGAACACTTAACAGTGGGGTGGGATGAGATGCCACCCTTCCCACGCTTGGCCCCATCCTGGCACTCTAGTTATTTGAAGTACTACATCTTCATCCAAACATGTTAAGTTTGATGGACCAGTTGATTTGAAAAGTGGCACGTGACGCCAACACTGAGGACAACGTGAGTATCCAAAGCCCCAGCTGCTGCACCGTGCTGTGCCATCTGCAGCATTTCTACAGGAGAAACTGTGACGTTCAGCTCCTGAGGAAACCTCTAATAGGAACCACAGCCCATAACACGCGTGATCTGAGAAGCAGACATCAAGGAGCTTCTTGGGAGAAACAGATGTTTACTTCTTAAAATGTTGCTTGCAGCCATTTCCACTATTTCAGATAAGGATAGCAGGGGAGTCTGACCCTGAGAAACCTCCGAGACTGTTTTTAATGCATATTTCTGAAACAGCCATTGCGTTGTGTTGCTTTGCTGGCTGCAGTGCTGCCTCTTCCCCAGCAGCCCCGCCGGCAGGGCAGCCTGCTGCTGCTTCAGCGAGATTAAAGGAGATGCATTTCTCCTTGATAGCAAGGCACCAAGGAGACCAGCACCTCCATGAAAGCACAGGGTTGAATGAAGAAACAGAAGTATGTTTATGGATTGCTTGCAGAATTTCATAGCAGCACCCTCCTGCAACCGGAGTTGAAAAGATTCACATTCACCATCAACCCACTGAGGAAACAGCATTTTCAGGATGCACTGAAACATGCCTCTTCACCTGGATCATTGTTACAATGGTTTAATAGGTTTTGGTGGGCTGGTGCGGAAAATAAAGATGGGCAAAAGAAAGCTACCTTTAAAGGGAAGAGGGGACCCGGGACGCATCCCGAGTTAATGCTGTTATTCAGGAGAATCTGCAATATTTTGCTCTTCTGTCAGCCCTTAGAGCACCATCAGCAATTTCCCTTTGGAATGTGGTTGCTAGGAATTACAATAAAAATATTCAACTGCAGGTTAAAATAAACCTGCAACAATAACACAGAGTATTTTTGGGCACCAGCTTTTATGTGGATGTTGACTTCAACAAACTGAGTTGCGCATCAGAACTGAGAAAATTGAATGGTTCAGGGGCCTGATCCTTATCCCGGTGTTAAATTATTCCATTTATCCAAATAGATCATTTTGGATTTAAACCACCTGAAGAAAGAGATACATCAGGCCACAGAGGATGTCCTTCCCATCCTGGCTCTCCAGATGGAAATAAGCAGAGTGAGGACAAGCCCCCGGTGCAGAGGAAGGTGCCGCCTGCTCAGCCGCACCAGCACCCGGCAGCAGGACGCAGACGCAGCCTCCCAGGGCACCTCGGCAGCTACTCTGGTGCCAGACCCTCTCAAACCTGACATCTCGATCCTCTCCTGCGATAAATCTTTTACCACGAAGTGACTCCTACCATGCATCTGCAGGGCTTGTTGTGGAATTCCCTGACTGGTTTATTGCTCTGCCTGTATTGGTAACCTTGATTTCGGTCTGCAAAGTCGCATCTATTATTAATAGGTAGCTGGGCTGCTCCTCTCGGTGCTGCGATGCCCTGCGCTCCACCGCTCGGCACGTCTGCTCACAGTGCTGCCTCCCAACAGGCAGCTTAGCAGCTGCAGCAGAAGCGGTGCCAGCCAGGCGCTGCCCGCGCCGGCAGGAGGGGCAGGACACGTGCTGCCCCGTGCAACACCCAGATGCACAGACTGCTGCTCCGTGGGGCCCTTCATCCCTGGTGCCGGCTCATGTGGGGCCAACAGCCCGTGGAAGGTCCCAAGTGCCCGCATGCTCTCCCAGAAGGAGATTTTCAGATAACTTTCATGCCTCTCTCCAGAGAGCCCCCAGCGTAGGTTCCTCTTTAGCAGCCCCAGGAGAAGGAGCTATCGCCCACAGACACCCTCAGCGTGGCACCCGGCAGCTCCGTACCTGTTGATCAGTGAGACGACCGCGGCAAAGAGCTCTTCATAGAGACCCGAAGCCATCCCCTCCACACACTCCACACCCGTCATCTTGGGCCCTGGCACAGGCAGAGAGAAGAGCAGGCAAAGGCACATCATTTATTTCCAGCTGAGTTCAGCCTACGCAGAGCCGAGCCAGTAGCAGGGGATTCCCTCGCTCGCTGGGCAGGATAACCCGCATGGCTCCCAGCCTCTGCCTGCCAGGCACGGCATCGCTCCGGTTACACAAGCAGTGCACATCCACCCGCCTGCCTCCAGCTCCTCTAGTGCCTCCTGCCTAATGTATATTTAAGAAATAAAACTATGGCCATGTTAAAGGCCAGTTCTGCAAGTTCTTGCCTTTATTGGAATAATTTGCAGAGGCCCGGCTGTGATTCTGCCTCCTAGGACGAGTCAGGCGTGGAAAGCTGACCTTAAAGCCAGGCGGTATCTCACCCCACCCACCATGTGCATGCTGGATCTGCCTCTGTGAATTAGATCCATATATTAATTCGAGGCTCAGCAGCAGTTTGTCCAGCAGGAGCACAACTCCCCACCATGTCCAAGTCTCCTTGCAGCATGCGGGCGCACGCAGCACAACACCAGCGCAGCTTCATTTGTGGACACGGGGAAGGATGCTCACCCTGCTGCCCTCCTGGTTTGGGTTTTTTTTTTCCCCCCTTTTCTAGGGAGATCTCTCACAGCATTTAATCCACATCACTTATCTGCCAGTAGCACTATCTGAATTTGCCTGATCTTCAGGTGTCCCTAAGGAGTGACAGGCAGGGTCAGCTATAGAGCTGAGCGTAGCTACGTGACAGAGCACAGTTAATAATTTAATTAATACGAACATACTTAAATGGACCTCACTGCCTGAAAAGAAAAGTCCAGAGCAGCGCAGAGCACAGCACTTCCCTATCACCCATAAATAAAGAAAAAAGGGATGCAGCATCCCGGTACCTGCCAGACTCTCCTCCGCCGGGGGCAGCCGGCTGCCTCGTGCCATGACCTGCGCCAGGATCTGCTTCAGGTGGTGTTTGAAGACGGCGGTGGTGAGCTCCTCCAGGTCGCAGCCCAGCACCTCTGCGGCGTTGCTCGCACACTCGAATTTCATGAACTGCTTCCTGCCAACTGGGGAGGGGGATGTGGGGGGCACGAACGGGTCAGGCAGAGCCAGTCCGAGCGGAGCCGGGCGCAGGCTCGGCACCTCTGGCAAACATCCCTGCCCACTTCCATGTGCAACCCCTCAAAATCAAAATAAAATAAAACAAAAAAGGACTGCTGTTTGCAGCGTGGGATGGGGAGGTGGGTAGAGGTGCTGTACCACTGCACCCCACTTTCCTTCCATCCCCCCAAGACTGCTGGATCAGCCCTTCCCTCGCATCCCTAACGGGCAGTTTCAGACCAGGCACTGCCCTTGCTGACCCGCTCAGAGCGACGACCCTGCAGACCACAGCCTGGAAATGCCCTTTGGGCAAAGACCTAGCCTGGGCAAAGCAGGCAGGAGCCGTGCCGGTGGGCAGGGAGGGGGCATCTGCCCCCCAGCATCACTTCGACACTTGGCTGAGACGGAGATGCAGAATGGCTATAAATCAACCCACATCAAAAGATGGTTTCCACCTTGAAGGCATGGCTGCTAGGAGGAGTTTTAGCATTACCTCATTCCCCATCTGCGTAACATCACTAACTGAACCAAAAAGCTTTTTCCTCCTTAAAGTCCATCTGCCTCCTCCTGCAATCCCTTCTCCTTCAGGCACAACTCCCGTATCTCTCTCTAGGCACTGGACCCAGTCTCGGTGGCCTGCCCGGCTCCCGCTCCCGCAGCGTGCAGTACGGGGGGCTGCCCTCCCTACGCACAGGCTTCTGCTAACTACAGCTGTAAGGATTTTCTCAGCTTTGCAAGATACTTATCATATTAAAAGCTGGCTGACTCGAGAAAGGTTGAAGGATTTGTCCCTCGGGCAATCATTTAGCATAAGAGGACCTTTTTTTTTTTTTTGGTCAGAAGATCAAAACTTTAAGGATCTCTAATCAATGCTTTTGAACCTATTTTCCCCACTATAGTGCTCCCCAGGTGCTCAGAGCATCCCACCTGCCCAGCAAGACCAGGCAGAGAGAAAGAGACCTGCTTCAAGATGTTTTGAGGCAATTCAGAGCGAGTCAGGGACCAGGTGGACCATGCGACCTACCCAGGCTGCTGCTGCGAGCACGGCACCAGTAATGTTGTGCATTTCAAGACCTTCAGTGGAGCAAACTAGCAGATGTGTTTATGGAAGCTGATGGGATTACGAACCAATCCCTCAAAATCCCGGATCACCTTCCTCAGCCCCAGCAATATTTGCTGCCCCCATCAGCCTGAGAGCAGCACTCATCCCAGCGCCGTCAGCAAACAGAGGTGGCAGACATTATTTACATCCAGCAATAGCAACTCCAGCTTAATGATTAAAATCCATAGGGAAGCAATCTACAGGATAAATCCTTTTACAAATCCAGGAAGGAAAGGTGCTGCGGAGGCAGCCAGCCAGCACACGCTCAGGAACACGGGGGGATGAGCAGAAACGGGAGCAGACGAGCGAAGTCCCCCAGAGACCTCTGGGTAGCACTTTTAGGTGGTGACTGATGAGGACCCAGCCCGGGGGCTCACGGCTAAGATGAGCCCTTAAAATACAGCAGGCGGCTGGTGGCAGGGGAGAGGGTTTGGGATGGAGAACAGGAGATGGCCACATCCTGGCCAGCCCCATGGGGGACCGGGGTCCCCCGCTCCTGGCTGAGGTGATGCACAAAGCAGCAAAAGGCCATGTTCCCCAGGGCCGGGGATTGAGGGGTGCTTTGCAGCACACCCGTGAGTCATCCCCCCCTTTCCCTTCCCCTTTGATCTTTTCCCATTATTTTTTATTCTGACTGAAGGACTCCAACATCAAGGGCTGTGCTGGAGCAAACAGAGGAATTGCCTCAACAATCCAGGCTTTGATTTATTTTGTTTTCACTTGTTTTCATTTGAGCTGGCTGGACAGAGGCTGATCCCCATCAGACAGAAGATCTCCGCACACTGCTGCATGCTGGGGAGCGGAGGGGCTGGGGGG